GGGTTTTGGGGCTAGTTGGGGCTTCGGCATGTGAACTAAGTTGTGGTTCATTGTAGGTCAAAGAGCAGACTTTGTCAGGTCTGCTTTTGGAATCTATACAGTAGACGCTTAGTTTCACTCCTATGCAGTTTGGGTTGGGGCTTGGTGTTCCAGTGGGGTTTCGCTTTAGGGGTATAAGGAGGAACCCCACGAAGGGACCCTCAATCTTATTTTCCCCTATATAACCCATATGTAACCCCTATATATATATATATATATATATATATATATATATACCGTATAGAGTCCCGACATGCCTAAGTAGCCTCTATCCCTTAAGGTTCCTTATAAGGGTCCCTCCTTTAGCCCATTGATTCGTGAAGGAAGTGGGGATGTTCAACCTTAACGTTGTCTCCTTCAAATCCACGGCAGATGGACTCGGAAGGGCCTAGCAGAGAACAGGCTTTGAACAAGAGCTTAGGGTTTAAAGGGTTCAGGGTTTTGGCTTTAGGGTTTCAGGGTTTTAGGGTTTTGGGGTTGCAGGGTTTTAGGGTTTCAGGGTTCCAGGTTCCAGGGTCTTAGGGTTTCTGGGTTGTAGTTTTTTTTGGTTTTTGGGTTTTCGGCTTTTTGGGTGTTAGAGCTTCGTGGTCTCTTCTTGAGGTTGATGGCTTGGGGTTCGGTTTGGGGTGTAGCGGCGTTCGTCCCTAAGGTGTCCCCGGCCAGCAGCATCACGCCAAGACACAGTCTTCACATGATTCTGAGGTTCGTTTAGGGTTTAGGGTTTAGGGTTTAGGGTTTAGGGTTTAGGGTTTAGGGTCTTAGGGTTTAGGGTTTAGGGTTGGTAAGCCCTAAACCTTGAAACGAACAGGGGTTCCGAAAGTCTGCTTTGTGAGTCCAGCTGACTTAGAGCTCAAGATCGTGTAGGTTGGGCAAACCCGAACCCCAAACCCTCAAACGAAGCATCGGGTTTCAAGGCCAGTCGCCAACGCCCTTGACATTCCAGAGATTCATACCATTCGACGATGCTTCCTAGGACGACGTCTGATATAAGGGCCTATTTCATAGTTCGTCTCATCATACAGTGACCTAGTATTGCTTCGTATATGCTACATACTGCCATGCCCAATTCCCTAACCTGTGGGCCATCTCCATTCCCGGGTCTTTCTTCTGTCCCTCTGGACTTGACGCGTATTCCAAGCTTTAGGGTTTCAGGGCCTTAAGGGCTTGGGGAACCCGTAACCCTAAACCCTAAACCCTAAACCCTAAACCCTAAACCCTAAACCCTAAACCCTAAACCCTAAACCCTAAACCCTAAACCCTAAACCCTAAACCCTAAACCCTAAACCCTAAACCCTAACCCTAAACCCTAAACCCTGAACCCTGAACCCTGAACCCTAAACCCTAAACCCTAAACCCGAGGGCTGTTCTTCGGCCCTTCCATTCCGCTGCCCGGCATCCGATGTAACAGGGAGGCGTTGCTCCCTTCAGAAGGAGATGGCAAGCGACCAGCTCAGGGCACGTCGGAACGTAGGGTTTAGGGTTTAGGGTTTAGGGTTTAGGGTTCAGGGTTCAGGGTTCAGGGTTCAGGGTTCAGGGTTTAGGGTTCGTTTGTAGGATTTTGGGGCGATACTTGTTGCAGGGAGGGGGCCCTGTTCTTGGGACCTCAAAACCTCAACCCGAAGCTCCAGCCCAAGCATCTGGGGAGTTAGGGAGTCGACGGGGGCATCTGGGCTCTCATCTATCTGGTAAATAGGGTTTAGGGTTTAGGGTCTAGGGTCTAGGGTTTAGGGTTTGGGGTCCAACCCTTCCTTACACCCTAAACCCGAAGCCCCACACACAAACCCCAAAAACTCTTTAGGGTTTAGGATTCAGGGTTTAGGGCCCTTCTGAGGGAGTTCCGGGATACAAGCCTCCCACCCTTGCCCTCTTCAGGTCCTTATGACATGCAACCGCTCTTTGGGGTTCATTACGCGACCGGCTATCCTGGTTCCTTACCTTGCTGTTTAACTAAAATGGTTCGGAGGGGTTTAGGGTTTAGGGTTTAGGGTTTAGGGCTTAGGGCTTAGGGTTTAGGGTTTAGGGTTTAGGGTTTAGGGTTTAGGGTTTCGCGGAGGGGTTCTTATCTCAGCAATGGAATGAAGGTTGCCACAGGGGAATCTATTACACTTCTGACAACGCTTGAAGGCTGGGGCGGATTAGTTTTTGGTTCTACTTTTGTTCATACAAAACCTAAGGGGAATTCACAACCAAGGAGAATATGAACAGCATGATGCAGCTTGCCCTCGCAGTTTTCGTCGCCAAAGAAATACACAGACCAAAGAGTCCCCTCTGCCGAGAAGTGTGGCTTCTGAATTTTAGGGGGCTTAGGGTTCAGGTGTAGGGTTTAAATCCTAAACCCTAAACCCCAAACCCTAAACCCTAAATCCTAAGCCCTAAGCCCTAAACCCTTGGTTGGGGAACTAGGGCTGCAGGGTAGTCTGCGTGCTTTCTTCGTGCCTCCCGCAGGAAGACAAGCGTAAAATGAAACACACCACACATGCAAAAGCCTTGCCTACTATTTGATCAAGAACCCCAAAAGAATCAACAAAAACAATCCCTAAATTACCCTTAATAAGGGAAGACATTTTTTTTGGGGGGCGGCTCTTAATTAAGCAATTCGTAGTTACTCACGTCACAAGCCCCAAGCCCCGAGCCCTGATATGCCAAAAACCCCTACGCCCAAAGCCCGAGGATTGGGTCTTAAAATTTCACCAGCCACGCTCTGGGCCTTTGCACGGAGAGGGTCGGCGCTAAGAGGACCGCCTGATGCGCGAAGCTCTTGACTGCAGCAAGACCTTGGCGTAGGGTTTTGGGTTCAGGGTTTTAGGGTCTAGGGCTTTTGGGTTCAGGGCTTTAGGGTTGGGATGTTCCCCCTTACACAGACAGTCCTTAACAGGGATGATCAAGGGGGGTAACTGTTAGCATAAGGGGGAACATCCCAAGTTTAGAGGACTTAGAGGGGAATGTTGGGGTTTAGAGGATTTGGGGGTTTCCGGAAGTAGGGGTACCTTATTGGGGTCCTTCTGATAAGGCAATCCGGCTGTTTAAGGGGTCTATGATTCGGGTTCCCATAAGTTCGCAAACCCCCCCCATTTAGAGGGAGTTTGGGAGATGTGGGGTTAGGCGATGAGCGTGGGCAGGGTTTGAACATCCCTGGCGAGTTCTTCCAGGTTTCCAGACCCGTGGGCTCACGGCTGAGGGTTGTTGCAGCTTCTGGGATGGGGTTTAGGGTTTAGGGTTTTGGGTTTTAGGGTTTAGGGTTTAGGGTTTAGGATGCTAGCACCGCAAACCCAACCCTAAACCCTAAACCCTAAACCCTAAACCCTAAACCCTAAACCCTAAACCCTAAACCCTAAACCCTAAAAAACAGAAAAGTGCGCATCTCCGGCGTCCCTCGGCCGATGGCTCAGAGAGTAGCACTCCGCTGGTGCATGTTTATCCGTCCGTCTCACCTCGTTACCAATACCAGGAGCCACTCCAAGGTGCAACAAAAAGGGTTTTAGGGTTTAGGGTTTAGGGTTTAGGGTTGAGGGTTGAGGGGTTTAGGGTTTAGGGTTGAGGGTTTAGGGAGAAGAGAGCAGAATTTTTGCTGTTGGCGTCGGGTTTTGAGAGGCGTTGGGTGACCCTTAAGCCTAAAACTGGCCCCAAACCCTAAACGCCTAAGCCTATGGGTTTAGGGTGGCAAGGTTTTAGGGTTCCTAATGACAAGGCGGCCCCCCCCCCCCCCCCCAATTATTTCGCTTAATTACCCGAGATGGGACGACACTTTAGAGAGCTGACCATAAACACCCTGTCAACCTTCCCGAAGCAGAGGGCTGCAGGGGTGTGTAGGGGGTGGGTTTTACTTAGAGGTTACTTAGGAACATAGGGGCTATATAAGGTATATATGGGGGTTATTTGTGGGGGATAATAGGGGAATAAGGTTAGGAGTCCCTTTTGGGGATACTTCGTAGTCGGCTGCAGACCCTTGTCACCATGGACTCGCCGCGGGTCTAGGTGTTTCGGGTGTTGGGGGTACAGGGTTTAGGGGCTCGGGGTTTAATGGCTTAGGGGTTTCGAGGTTTAGCTTTTTCGGCTTTTGTTTCTTTATTGTTATTTAATTATTGTTATTTTGTTTTAGGGGGGAGGGCGGGTTGCAGAGGCGTCCGAGCAGCTGCGAAGTCACAGAGATGTGGAGTTGCAGTCCTTCTCCCTGTCGGTTTGGGGCTTCGGGTTCAGGGTTTAGGGAAAGGGTTTAGGGAAACCCTAAATGCCCTAAGCTCCACACGCCAATCTCCCTGCAGCTGTTTCGGATCATTTCGTCTGTGCAGGAAGCAAAGTCGCCATTGGAGATGGCATTGCACTGGGATCAGACGCCCAAGAGGTGCTTCCAGGGTTCAGTTTGTTTTTGGGCTCGGGATTGACCCGGTCTACACGGCCAGGGTGGAGGGTAGGGAGTTGTTAGGGGTTAGGGTTCAGTTTTTAGGGGTGTAGGGTTTTTGGGATTAAGGGCTTAGAGGGGCTTAGGGTTTAGGGGTTTAGGGCTACTTACTTCATATGTTTGGGCTGTGACCACATGTGAGAGAACTGCCCACGTCTTCCAGAATTTAAACCACGACAAGGGCTGCAACGACGAAGGCGAACAGATCTGGAGCCCTTTCTCCGGGTATTCCAATCTGGCATATTCCTCTTTGTATAGGGTACCAGATGGGAGCACCTGCTTTTGAGCGTGATTCGCCAAGCTGGGCAAGAGACATCTGTATCAAAAAGAACTGCAACGGGGGGGCATTATGTCTCAAGGCCCTCCGCCACGGAAGCATTGCTGTTCTTTCCCCCCCCCCCAGCCCTTGTCCTTAATGAAACCTTAACCACTTAAAGCCCTAAACCCTTAAAGCCCTGAACCCCAAAGCCTCAGCCTTAGCCCCTAAGCCCTCAGCCCTTTCCACAGGCAGGGCCTCTATGACCCAACCTACGAGTCCGATGCGTGCGGTGTGGGCGCGGTCATGGACATGGGCGCCTCTCATGAGCTTGGGGGTTTAGGCTTCAGGGTGAAGGGTTGAGGGTCTATAGGGGTTGGTTTAGGGTTTAAGGGTTTAGGGTTCAGGGGTGTGGGGGGGGGTTTGTGGGATTTAGGGCTTTTCGTGTGTTAGGGTAAAGGGTTTAGGGAGGGTTAAGGGTTGGTTTAGGGTTTGAGGGTTGGTTGCTTCGCTATGCGTGGGGCTTTGGGGTTTCAGGGCCGGGTCGGAAGAGGGCCTCGGGACTTCAGGGTTTCGGGTATAGGGTTTGGGTTCATTCTGCACAAGTCGCTGAGAGAGAACTTGCACATACATGCCAGGGGCTTCCCAAAGACTTGCCTTGCTTCGCCAAGTTGAGGGTCACAGAGCCCTCGTAAGCCCCATGCTCTGAACCCAGGTTCCGCCCCTCAACCAAAGAGCTCGCGCCTCCTCCCTCCCCCTTCCCCCGATTCCCAGGAAAGAAGCCCTCCCGCAAGACTCTCACAGACGCCCGGGACATGGTGGTGCGCATGACACACCGCGGCGCGAAGCAGGCACTCCGCCCCCCCCCCCCCTCCTCCGCCCCGACGAGCCCTCGGGCTTCAGAGGATCGGGCTGGGAGAGTAGTGGGGCTAGGGCTTAGGCTCCAGGTTTCAGGGTTGAGGGCCTGAGAGGGTTTGGAGTTTCGGGTTTGGAGGCGCCGGACGAACAACCCCACCTCCCGCCACCGCCCCTCATTGAGCTTCAAACCCTAAGCCCTATAAGCTCTAAACCCTAAACCCTATATCATAAACCCTAAACCCTAAACCCTAAACCCTAAACCCTAAACCCTAAACCTAAACCCTAACCCTAAACCCTAAACCCTAAACCCTAAACCCTAAAACCCTAAACGCGGAGCATCCTTTCAGGCGCATGAGGACGACGGCGACGGCGTCGGAATCATGATCTCCATCCCAGATGAGCCGCCGGAACGAGGTTTGGCCACCACCAGGCCCCAAGGTCTTGAGGACGCAAAGCGCGGCTTCGTAGGATCCCCCCGGCTCAAGTCACTTGCTCTAGGGGCCTCTAATTCGTTTTTTTTTTTTTTTTTGGGGGGGGGGGGGGGTTGTTTTGCTTTGCGTACATCGGGACCATAAAGGCGATGCTCCCCAAGGCCCTTGACCTTCGCTTCAGCTCTCCCAGGTCCTCGAGGCCTCAAGGCGCCCTCATTGAGGGCTCCACAAGGCTCTTACGAGGGATTTGGGACTCTGAGGTTCCTGGAGTACTCCCTGACACCCTTCAACACGCCCATAAACCCAACATCATTCCATTATATGCATAATATATATATATATATATATGTATATATATATATACATATGTATATATATATGTATATATATCTATATATGTATATATATATATATGTATATATATATATATACGCATAGAATGTGCATATATGTGTTTTTTTTTACGTATGTATATACCGATGTACCTACCATTTGTGGTTAAGTTGGTGTTTTTCATACCTTTCACACACAAGCTTCTAGGGAATTGCGCACGCGTTTTCGGCTGTAAAGTAATGTATGTATGTATGTACGTACGTACGTACGTATGTATGTATGTATACATATATATATATATACGTATGTCCCTATGAACCCTAATGTTGACTTCGCATTAATAAACCCCCCCCCCCCCTTCATTGATCAATCTCTCCGGCCAGGGCCTCCTCAATAATATCCGCCTAAATCCTGGTAGGTCTAGCTGTCCCGGTGCCACCACAGTGGGCTAAGTGAGCCTCTACTGCGAGCTTCTGGGGGATCACTTTTAGAAGAATATTCCGGGCTGGATTTTATAATTGTGGCGGGCTACATTATTGTGTTCTGGCAGCTGGATTTTATAATTGCGGGGAATTCCTAATGTGAAGTCAACTTATGAGCCCTTCTAAAGCCCAAAAAAAGGTCCTACCGAAAACCCTGTAAACGGGTTGAGGGAGCTTGGGCTGTGCCACCTTAAGCCAAGACCCCCCCCCTCCCCCCCCCCCCAGCAAGGTACTACCGCACCTGCTGCACCTTCACGCTGCCTCCCGCCGGCAGCTACGGTGTCGGAAACCTCTTCATGCCGCCACAGGTCCCCGGTCGGCAATGTAACCCATGACTGAGGGTTTAGGGTTTAGGGTTTAGGGTTTAGGGTTTAGGGTTTAGGGTTTAGGGTTTAGGGTTTAGGGTTTAGGGTTCAGGGCACGTATAGGGTGTGAGGCCTTAAGGGCTTTAAGAGCTCAGGGTCTTCAGAGCCTAAAGGGCCCGAGGGCCTTAAAGGCCTTAAGGGCTTGCAGGGCTTGAGGGTTCTCATTCTGCAGAAGTTGAGTAAAACCCTGGCTGGACCCTTCACCCAGCCTCTTAAGAGGATTTAGGGTTTAGGATTTAGGGTTTAGGGTTTAGGGCCGTTTAGGGTTTAGGGTTTCCTAGGGCATATGGGGTGTGCAGTCTCTACCGGCCAGGTTGAGGGCTTTGGATCGGGATTCAGGTTTTTTTTTTTGGAGTTCAAAGGTTAAATCCGAACCCCCCTCCCTCCCACTGAAGCCCTAAACCCTAAACCCCAAACCCTAAACCCTAAACCCTAAACCCCAACCTTCAGGAGGACAAGCGCGAGGACTCCGTCAAGCTGGTGGAGCGCATGGCGCGCAAGCTGGGGCTCCAGGCGCGCAGGTGTTTTGGGGTTTGGGGGTTTAGAGTTTAGGGTTTAGGGTTCAGGGTTTAGGGTTTAGGGTTCAGGGTTTAGGGTTTTGGGTTTTGGGGTTTTAGTTTGGGGCTTCGGGTTTCGGGTTTAGGGTTCAGGGGTTCAGGGGTTTAGGGGGGTAGGGTTTTAGGGGTTTTGGGCTTTCAGGGCCTTTGGGGTGTAGGGGTTTGGGGGTTGGGGTTTCAGGGGTTTAGGGGGTTCTTGGTGGCGTTATGGCATGGGGTTGGCGCTTCTGGGGGCTATGGGGGAATCTTACTTGGGGGTTCAGGGTATAGGGTTCAGGGTTTAGGGTTTGGGGTTACCGGGTTGGACCACACACAGGTTTGTCGTCTCGACCCCACCCCCCTTCCCGCGTGTTCTCGACGAGGGAAGTCGCCCACCATGTTTCGGTGATCCCACTTCGCACGCGACGTGTTCGACTGGTGAGAATCACATGACTGTGCCGCGCTACTTCGTGCCGTGAACGATATTGTATGAGCTTGCGCAGACTGCTTTCCTGGTAGCAGCAGCCCGTGCCAGCAGCAATGGCAGCAGTATCTGGTGGTCGCGGTGGTGGTGGTGGTGGTAGGGCGGGGGTGAAGGGAAGGCACCTTGGCGAGGGGGGCGAACAAGCAGTTTTTGTTGCGGGGAGGGGCCGGCAAGAATGAACTTTGGGGCTCAAAGCGCCAACTTCGGGGAGGGGGGTCGAAGAAACAACCTTGCGGGGTCAAAAACATCACCTTTTTGCTGGCCCTGGACCCTGTTTTACAAACAAAAGAAGGGGCCCTACTGCAATTGCAAGCGCTTCCCCCTGGCATGGTATCCAAGGCGAGCATGCCGAAAGGCATGAGGGACGAGCAAGAGGTACTACTCGACCCCAACACCCCTGATTCCGACGTTACGAGCCCCACCCCAACCCGAAACCCCTCACCCTCTAAATCGCAAACCATCAGGGAGTTGCCCTACCCCGTACAAACTCTGCGTAATTGCCTCTTTCTTGGGGGCGCCCCAGAAAGCACCCCAAACCCCCGAGAAACTGACCCAAATTTGGCGCTATCCCCGCAAAACCTAAACCCTAGAAACCCGAAAACCTTCAAATTTCCTTGAACCCTAGACCCTGGACCCTATAGACCTAGACCCTAAACCCTAAACCCTAAACCCTAAACCCTAAACCCTAAACCCTAAACCCTAAACCCTAAACCCTAAACCCTAAACCCTAAACCCTAAACCCTCATTGAGCACACCAGGTCATCGGTTGGCGAGCACCCCTGCCCGTGAACTCGCTGGTCCTCGGGCCTTACGCTAGGACAACCTTGGGCTTTCTTAAAGGGTTTAGGATTTAGGGGTTTAGGGTTTAGGGTGAGAGTCTTCGAAGTCCTTAAGGTATAGGGCCTCAGGGTTTTGGGTTTATGGTTTAGGTTTGTGGGGACTTTTGGCCTTGACTGATTTTATTTTGGATTTGGGTGACTGTTTTGCTTGGGACCTTAGAAGGTTTAGCCTCCTGACACGACCCAGGCGAGTGGACTTTGTGTCATGTCACAGAAGTCGGGTACTAATACCATGTCTGATGGCTTTTCTTGAATGAAAGCGAAAACCCTGAGTCCAAAACCCTTAAAGCCCCTTGAAGCCCCTTGAAGCCCCTTAAAGCCCCTTGAAGCCCCTTGAAGCCCCTTAAAGCCCCTTAAGGCCCCTTAAAGCCCCTCAAAGCCCCCACCCCTGAGACAGCCTGGCACGTATCCGACCTAGAACTGTAACCCTAAACCCTAATGAACCCCAAACCCTAAACCCTCAACCCTCAACCCTAAACCCTCAACCCTCAACCCTAAACCCTAAACCCTCTGCTGGGCAGGACCACCGAGCCCTTCATCGCACAGGTCTACGTGACCCTGGCCGAGGCATCTTCGGGGCCCTGGCAACCTGGGGTTTGAGTAGGGAGTCGGTTTCTGGGGGTTTAGGGTTTAGGGTTTAGGGTTTAGGGTTTAGGGTTTGAGGTTTAGGGTTTAGGGTTTAGGGTTTAGGGTCTAGGGTTCACCAAATTGGCCTTGTCGACGAAGCCTTGTGCCTTGTCGACGAATGACCTCAAGGTTTAAATATAGAGGGTATGAGAGGTTTAAAGTAGGTTTAGGGTTTAGGGTTTCGTGTTGATCTTGGTGGCCCAGTGGTGCCCTTTGCCAGGTTCCGGTTGGAACCAACCCCAGAAGGGGAACCCTTATCATGATATGGTTTCTGGGCTACCAAGATAACCCGCTACTGAAGAACGACTTGCGAAGCCCAGTCCATCGTCCCACTGGGACAGCTACGGCTGTTTCGGGTGGGGCGCCTCCCCGTCTTAGAGTCTCATAAGAAGTTTGTTATGGTCAGTTCTCTCCTAAGCAAGCCTTTGGGTTTAGGGTTTAAGGGCTAAACCCTAAACCCTAAACCCTAAACCCTAAACCCTAAACCCTAAACCCTAAACCCTAAACCCTAAACCCTAAACCCTAAACCCTAAACCCTAAACCCTAAACCCTAAGCCATATAGACCCTAAATCCTAAACCCTAAACCCTACATCCTATAGGGGTTTAGGGCTTCTAAACCTCTGCAAGCAAGCCTTTCGGCCCGTTCCTTCGTCTTCGCACAGGAGGAGGCGCCAGACTCGGCCGGCGAGGAGAAGAAGCCCAGCAAGGCACGTGTTGGAGGCGCGTTCTCGTGGGACTTAGGGTTTAGGGCATAGGGGTTTCGGGTGGGGTTGAGAAGTAATATTGGGCCTATGGAATTTGTGTGTGTATATTTGGGTTAGAGTGTGTATGCTTCATCACATCTTGGGATAGTCCTGGCGACCATCCAGGCTCCTGTGTAAGGCTCTATTTCCCTCTTGTGCTACACAACCCATAGAATGCTCGATGACCCTGTGGCCACACCCCCAACCCCAAGCCAAGCCCTGAACCAAACCATTCTGCAAGGCCCTAAACCCAGAGCCCTACAATTCCTACAATCCCTACAATCCCTATAATCCCTATAAGAAATCCTATCATCACTATAATCTCTATAAGACCTATAATCCCTACCCGACAAAGACCTTCGAAGAAGCCCTGCAGCAGGTGCTCTGAGGATGTCCCCCAAGGAGTTTCAAGGCCGGAAGCTCGGGAGGGCGAAAGCGCTGAACTGTAGGGCTTGTGGTTTAGGGTTTAGGCTTTAGGCTTTAGGCTTTAGGCTTTGGGCTTTAGGGCTTAGGGCTTAGGGCTTAGCGTTTCGGAGTGTTAGGGTTGAGGGAAATCGGGGTTAAGGGTTTGAGGTTTCGGGTTTTGGGTCAAGGTCCGAAGCCCTTGAAGCCAAACAAGCCTTCACGGCAAGCTCTCCGAACTTAGGCGCCTAGCCGCAAGCTCTCCGAACTTAAGCGCCTCCCCGACAACAAAATACAAAAACCCGATACACCCCAGAAAGCAAAATCCGAGGCTTCCAAGACCCAAAACCCCAAGACTATACCCTAAACCCTAAACCCTAAACCCTAAACCCTAAACCCTAAACCCCAGTTTGGGAGCAGGTCTGAACCTGGAGACGCGCCTTTTCCTACTCCGCCGCGCGGTGGCACTGCGCGACCGCGAGGTCTTCGTGTGCTCCCTCTCTTCCCGCACAATTGCGCCTCGTCGAGGAAGGGAATGGTTTAGGGCTTAGGGCTTAGGGCTTAGGGCTTAGGGCTTAGGGCTTAGGGCTTAGGGCTTAGGGCTTAGGGCTTAGGGCTCAGGGGTGCTTGGGGTTCAGGGTTTAGGGCTCCGTGTTTGTTTCAAGGGCTTAGGGTTGAATTTTGGTGTAGGGTCCTTTAAAGGGTTCAGGGAATTTGGGGTCTAGGGTTGTTTGGCCGTCTGGGAAGTTTTCGCCAGGTGCTCTAGCATTGAGGGGATCTGAGAGGTTCGGTGTTCCTGCCCAATAATGTAAAACAGAATACTGTGTGAATACAGAATAATGTAGTAGCAGAATACCAGAAAATCTGCAAAATATTTTGATAGTATACCAATAGGTTCATATAAGAATTTCATCACAATACAGTGGCATTGCAACATTATCCTGTTCCAATATAGTAAGACAAGAAGACAACAATGAACTTCCATCATAGTGTAAACACCTAGTATAATATTCATATATCAAGAAAACAATGTAATGACATAACAAAACTATTATATATATATATATATACATGTAATAGATGAATTTTGAATATTCTAGTCATATAGCAACCATTATATGTAATGCTACTGCTAATGGAACGATGTAATGCACTCACATATTTCCATAGCTGTACAAAGTAACATATCTTCATAAGAATATACCCGTGTAGACATGTTGCAATAAACATACAATAATTGTAGTAATATAGCAGTATACTGATAAACTGACATGATGATTTAGTGAGTGGTATGATTTAGCAATAGTATAAGAACACAACTAGTATCGTACTACAAGAGAATATGACTACATACATATAACTACATCGCGTCACAGCCAGATTCTTGGGGGTCGTCGGGTATGGGAGAGTATGTGGCTTCAGCATTGGCGCGACTGCTGACAGGGAACGGGCGTTGCCGAGCAGGGTTTCTTTCTTCCCTGGTTTAGGGTTTACGGTTTATATAGGGTTGAGGGTTTAGGGGGACTGCTACCCGCTGTCTTCCAACACCTGCGATCATAAGCCAGCCCTGTGTTCAGGCAAGTTCAGGGGATCCCCCTTTTAACCTCCTTGAAGTTGGGGGTGAGTCGAGGAGGCTCACGGCAAGCTGAGGTGTACAAGGGCCAGTTCAAGCCCAGCCAACTTTTCGAGTACTACCTGGAGACTTGCCTGGGTTCAGGGTTCACTTCCGGGTTCTCTGACTTGGGGTTCAGGGATCTGGGGTGCCTTGGGCGCCGTGACTTTGTTTCGTTTGGCACTTTGTTTCGTTTGAGACGTAGCCACCAGTTACAGGGCTCTCCCCAAGACACCAACACTGACACCTGAGGTAGTTTGAGGTCTGTTGCAGTTGGTTGAGGGGTTCTGGTCTAGACTCTCGAGGTCTAGACAGGTGGCGAGAGGGGGGCGGGCGTGTTAGGGCCTTGGGGGATTTCGAGGTTTAGGGAGTCGAGGGGTAGACAACTTGTGGAATTATCATTTTCTCGTCACCTATACTACCCTTAAACCCGAAACCCTAAACCTAAACCCTAAATCCTAAACCTTAAACCCTAAGCCACCATTAGCTTCAACTCCGAGCCACTGGCCGATTCCCTCAGCCCCGCAAAGCTGTTTCGCCCGAAGCCCGAACAACCAAGCCCCCCTGAAGCCCCTGAAGCCCCGAATCCGTTGCTTCAGGACCTAAAGGCGGAGAAGTGCACAGCCTTCCTGGCCGCTTGAGCAAGCGGGGGGGGGGGGGGGTTCGGGGTTTAGGGTTGAATGAGGGTTCAGGGTCTAGAAGCTCTTGTTTGTGGTTGGGCTTTGGGGGTGAGATCTGGGGGCTTACCGAACAAGGAAGGGCCATGAGAATTTAACATTTCCTCCTCAAAGTCGGATCATATTCAGTAAGACTTAGTTATGGTTTCCGAGGTGCCACCTTATGAGGGCTCATAGGGCTTGAGAAGCCCAAAGAGCCCCCCCAAGACCCCTTAATCAAGGAATATACCTGAAACTATAAGGGAGTCCTTGATGATTTGAGATATATTCCTAAAATTAGGGTCCTAAAATGTTGAGCGATTAAGGCCCCTCTAGCACCCCCGACCCTAGATCCTGAACCCTGGACCCTAAACCTCGCCCCCCCCCCCCCCCCCCCGAAAGCCCAAAGGGGTGTCTTCAGCCCTCCAAGGCCATCGTGCACTCGCGTTTCTCGACGAACTCTTTCCCATCCTGGTGCCTTGCGCTTCACAGCTTTCCGGTGTTTAGGGTTTAGGGTTTAGGGTGTAGGGTTTAGGGTTTAGGGTGTAGGGTTTAGGTTTAGGGTTTAGGGTTTAGGGTTTAGGGTTTAGGGTTTAGGGTTTAGGGTTTAGGGTTTAGGGTTTAGGGTTTAGGGTTTAGGGTTTAGGGTTTAGGGTTTAGTCTGGGACTTCAGGTCGAAATTCTGGAGGGTTGCCGGAGTCCTTGCTAGTAGGTTTGTGGCAAGTCGGGGTGGTGTTGAGGGTGTTGGCTGCTGCTTGGGGCAAGTTGCTACCTTCCCCCAAACCGCTAGAACCCAAGACCCCCTAACCCAAAACCCCCTAAATCCTAAACCCTAAACCCCTAAACCCTAAACCCTAAACCCCTAAACCCTAAACCCTAAACCCTAAACCGTAAACCCCTAAACCCTAAACCCCTAAACCTGGAGCCCAGGAACCGGGCGCACCCATTCCGACGCATCGCCCACAACGGCGGGGGCCTTTGATGGGTAGGGAAGGGGGTGGGGGGGCTAGGGCGTAGGGTTTAGGGTTTAGGGTTTAGGGTTTAGGGTTTAGTGTTTAGGGTTTAGGGTTTAGGGTTTGGTCTCCGGATCGAGCAGTTGTATGGTAAAGTTGGATTTCGGCTCTGATATTACATTGAGAAAAACAAAAACGGCAAAATTCTGAATTTAAAGCGGCCAAGTTCTGAAAATCAAGCGGCCAGATTCTGAAAATAAAGCGGCCAAATTCTGAAAATCAAGCGGCCAGATTCTGAAAAAGCGGCCAAATTCTGAAAGTAAAGCGGCCAAATTCTGAAAGTAAAGCGGCCAAATTCTGAAAACAAAGCTGCCAAATTCTGGATAAAGCGGGCAATTCTGAAAATAAAAGCGGCCTTATAGAGGGTTTGGGGTTCAGGGTTAGGGTAACCTCACCAGTACAACGAAGAAAATGCAACAATAGTGCTGGGGGCTCTACGGGCCATTCTTTATTTTGGGCAAGAATGTTCTTGTTTTGTTTGCTTTGTGTCTATTCACGACCTGGTATTTACGTAGCATGTGTTTCATCTCTTCAGGGGAGTTAAGAGGCAAGCTTCGGGCACGGTTTGTAGGCTTTGTCGGTCTCTAGCTACAGTCAGTCTAGGTGTAGGGTCTCGAGGCGGGGAGCTTGCAGAAAAGAAAGTATTTGGGCACTCATACGAAGACCCCCCCCCCGCCCCCCCGCCCCCCTAAACCCTAAACCCTAAAGCCCGAACCCTAAACCCTAAACCCTCCTTCCCCTCCTTGCGCGAAGGTGAGATCAACACTCTTGCCGGCAATCGAAACTCCATTCGCACCCGCGAGGCGAGGTAGGGCTTAGGGTTTTAGGGTTTAGGGTTTTATTAGGGTTTTGGGTTTTATTAGGGTCTAGGCTTTAGGGTTTAGGGGTTAATTTGGGTTTTTGGTGTTGGGTTTAGGGTTTAGGGTTTAGGGTTTAGGGTTAGGGTTTAGGGTTTAGGGTTTAGGGTTTAAGGGTTTAGGGTTTAGGGTTTAGGGTTTAGGGTTTAGGGTTTAGGGTAGGGCTTAGGGCTTAGGGTTTAGGGTTAGGGTTTAGGTTTAGGGTGTTGGGTTAGGATTGTGCAGCTGCCCGTAATAGGCTGTTGGAGGAAGCGGCTTCTTTTGTTATCAAAGAAGCCGAGCAGCGAAACGGTTTTTGTCGGGGGTTTAGTCAGGGTTTTTGGGTGTTCCCCCCTAAACCCTAAACCCTAAACCCCGATAACCCCCCCGTTCCAGGCACTGATGAACGACACCTCAGCCTTTGGTGGTGCTCAGCTGGACGCCTTCTTCCCCGTCGATGAGGACATCGGCAGCCCCTCGCTCCTCTTGATGGTTTCTGGTGGTTTAGGGGGGGGGGGGGGTCAGGGTGTGGGGTTTAGGGTTTAGGGTTTAGGGTTTAGGGTTTAGGGTTTAGGGTTTAGGGTCTGGGGTTTAGGGAGACAGTAGCAAGACCACCCCCGGGTAGCCCATCTATGTCGGCTTGAATTCGTGGAAGTTGCGCATTCCAAGCCACCATGTAGACCCCTTAAACCCTGAACTTAGGCCCGAAACCGCATTCTAAAACCCCCAAAACAAGGCTAGGCTACCCTCCCAAAGCCAGAGTGTACCAAGAAGCCGCGCGCTGGTGCAGAAATAGGCCCTAAACCCTACACCCTACACCCTAAGCCATCATACTTATAGTAGTTTCCCCTTTCCTTTCAGGGATCCCCAAACCATCAAAGCCCTGAGCCTCTCTTTCACGCTCTCTCTCTCTCTCTCTTGTAGTCAAGCTTCTTAGGGTTTGTTTCGGGCTTTTAGTCCCTGAACATGGTTCCTTACCTTCTAAGCAGGGTTCCGAAGTACGGGACCTTGGGTTTGTTGGTATATATTGCTATACAACTACGGGTTCCCCAAGTAAGGGCCCATAGCTAAGGCACCGTGGAACTACCCTAGGAGCTTGCTGCTCACGTGCTTTCAGGGTTTCAGGGCTGCCGGGAGCCCTAGACCCTAAACCCCAAACCCCAAACCCCCAAACCCCAAACCCTAAACCCTAAACCCTAAACCCTAAACCTAAAACCTAAACCCTAAACCCTAAGCCCTAAACCCTAAACCCTAAACCCCACCTCCTCAAGGCGATTCAGCTTTGCTGGACAACGTGGTAGAGCTCTTGTTGGCTGCAGGCCCAAGAGGGGCCAAGGCTTTAAAAGGAGTGGGTGTAGGGTTTCGGGTTTAGGGTTTAGGGTTTAGGGGTAGGTGGGGAGGGGTTTTGGGATCGCACCCTACCCTGAAACTCGAACCCTACATTGAGCGGGCCAGCCGGGGGGCAGAGGCCGAAATGCAGGCGGACTCCAAATCCCGGAAGCCCTTGGCCCAAGGTGAAGTAGGTAGGCCTTTGGGAAAATTTTGTAAACCCTAAACCCTAAACCCTAAACCCTAAACCCTAAACCCTAAACCCTTAAACCCTAAACCCTAAACCCTAAACCCTAAACCCTAAACCCTAAACCCTAAACCCTAAACCCTAAACCCTAAACCCTAAACCCTAAACCCTAAACCCTAAACCCTAAGCCCTAAGCCCTAAACCCTAAACCCTAAACCATATTCAGGAAACTTTTTCAGAGGGGTTCATGGGCCATCCTAAGTTCATGACCTATCAGACTTCGTGGGCCGAGGATTGGTGGCTTCCTTTTGTTGTGTATGGGGGGAGTGAAGGTTCGGATGTTCCGTGTTAGACTAACAGCTCCTTAATAGGGATTATAAAACCCTCGACTAGAATCCCTACTAAGGAGCCGTTTGTATCAAGGGGGACATCCCAAAGTGAAGGAGTTTAGGGTTTAGGGTTGGGGTGTCTTCCTCCTTGCATGCAAAGAAGACCTGGAACTCGAGGGCCCCAGACAGCATGCCGCTGGGTCTAAGGGCCTGCGGCAACTCTTGAGGCGTCTTTAAAAAGTCATTAGGGTTTAGGGCTTCGGGGGTGTTCTGAGGGTAAATGGTTTAGGGTTTCGGGTTTGGCCCTTGATATCCCTATAAGGGGTGGTCCCCTTTTAAGATCCTTCATGTATCTACCTTAAGAGGTGTGGGGAGGGATCCTAGACCCTGAGCCCCAAACCCAGTTCTCAGAGAGAGGTACAAGGGACCTGGCAGAAGTCATCATGATGGTGATCCCGGAGGCTCCGCCCTGGGATTTGTGGAGTTTTGAGGGTTTAGGGTTTATAGGGGGGGTTGAGTGCGGCTTTCCCTGTTACCCCGTGCTTGGAGCGTTTAGGAAGCCCGACCTCAGAATCAGTTGCAGGATCGCAAGCCGTGTGCAGGGAATGCTTGAGAAGTCAGTGGCCGAAGGAATTTGCGACTTGAGCGGGGCTTTGGGGGACCGAAGGGGCGCCATCCGCAGAGTTGGGAATCTTGTTTTTGACGCCTGAAAACCCTGACGCTTATAACTTACAACCCTAAGATTCTCTAAAGCCCGAGCCAAAAAAGCCCTAAAAACAATCCCCTAAGATCCTAAAGAGTCCCTGAAGCCCGTGAGAAGAAAGCCCAAGAAGCACCCCAGGCCTGGCAGAATGCCGATCGCATGGAACCCGAGAAGAAGGCGTTCTACAAGCCGCTCGGGCGGGTTTCGGGTTTAGGGTTTAGGGTTTAGGGTTTAGGGTTTAGGGTTTCCGGAAAAACCGCTTCGGGAAGCTTATGGCCAGGCATTCTTCTTCTCCCTTTGCCCTGCCCCCCCCCACCCCCCGCCCCCCACCCCCCGATCCGCTGATTTAAGCTCGACGCGCCTTTCAGAGGGGGAGTGGGGTTTCGTGGTTGCTATGTAGATTCTGGATCGAAAGCTAAGCCCTCGAAGCCCCCCTGAGCCCCCCTGAACGCCTAAACGCCTTAAACACCCCCAAGCCCAGGTACCTCTCCTGCGTCATGGAGCCGTGGGACGGTCCTGCCCTGGTGCCCGGGCTGCCGTTGAGGGGTTTAGGGTTTAGGGTTTAGGGTTTAGGGTTTAGGGTTTAGGGTTTAGGGTTTAGGGTTTCAGGGTTTCAGGGTTTCAGGGTTTCAGGGTTTCAGGGTTTCAGGGTTTCAGGGTTTCAGGGTTTAGGGTTTAGGGTTAGGGCTCTTTACCCGGCTCCAATGCTGTGTTGAGGGGTGGGGAGGTTCCCCAGAGCCAGGGTATTCTAGGCTTTAGGGTGAGGGTGCATTAGGGGTTATTGGTTTTGGTCGTTTAGGTTGTTTATTCAGGTACACGCTACACCCTCAACCCCTACATGACGGTTAAAGCCTTCAAAAACCTCAACACCCAAACCTCACCATCCATCCCGTACCCCTCAAATTTTCGAGGTGCTTTTTTGTTTTTTCCGGCTAGGCTCTTGGGCTCCCGAGCCCCAAAAAACCTTCCAATCCGAAGTGAACCCTATATGGTATACCCCCAGAAACCCTCAACAATAGACCCTAAACCCTTATTCCTGAACCTTAAACCCTAAACCCTAAACCCTAAACCCTAAACCCTAAAACCCTAAACCCTAAACCTTAAACTCCAAACCCTAAACCCGAAACCCTAAACCCTAAACCCGAAACCCTAAACCCTAAACCCTAAACCCTAAGCCCTCAACCCTAAGCCCTCAACCCGAAGTGAAGCCTACGCGGGCCCCTCGAGGTGTGCTTCACCGACGGCATCCAGTTCGGCGCCACGCTGGCGGCCCTGGCAAAGTTAGAGTTAGGGTTTAGGGTTTAGGGTTTAGGGTATAGGGTTTAGGGTTTAGGGTTTAGGGTTTAGGGTTTAGAGGGCGCTCTTTGTGGGGTTTGAGGGTTTCGAAGTTCGCAGCCCCTGCGGTGCCCTGCCGCGCCTGCGGCCCCTTCTTTGTGGCTTTCTTGTGGGTTCTGGTCGGGCTTGGGCTTTCGTTTTGGGTTTCTCTTTTGTTGGGGGGGGGGGGGGGGTTCAGCCTTAACCTCTCTATCCTTGCTACTGACGAGTGAACCTCTAAAGCCTACACCCTGAACCAAACCCCGCTATACTTGAGTTGAGGGCAATCAACCCGAATCCCTACACCCTTAGGCCCTTAACCGTATAAATACTCCAAAACCCTAAACCCTAACTCCTAACCCTAAACCCTAAACCCCCCAACCCCAACCCCAAGAAGACCCAGGATCGAAACGGCCTCCGTCCCGGACGCTTCTACATCACCAAGGATTCCGGAGGGTTCAGGCTTCAGGGTTTAGGGCAACCTGCCCCCCAAAGCCTAACCCTAAACCCTAAACCCTAAACCCTAAACCCTAAACCCTAAACTCTCTCTTTCATATAATAATTTAAACCTTAATGGGGAACGTGGCCATTGGCAAAAAAACCGTGGCCATTGGCAAAAAAACCGTGGCCATTGGCAAAAAAGCCGTGGCCATTGGCAAAAAAGCCGTGGCCATTGGCAAATTCGCCAATGGCCACGAGAAAGTTGCCAATGGCCACGGCTTTTTTGCCAATGGCCACCAATGTCATTAAGGTTGGTCGCCAAAATGGGTTTTTCAAACCCAATTCGCACAAATACCCCCCCAACCTTAATGGGGAACGTGGCCATTGGCAAAAAAGGCGTGGCCATTGGCAACTTTTCGGTTTTTTTGCCAATGGCCACGGCTTTTTTGCCAATGGCCACGTTCCCCATTAAGGTTGGGCCCCAACCTTAATGGGGAACGTGGCCATTGGCAAAGAAGCCGTGGCCATTGGCAAGTCGCATTTGCCAATGGCCACGGGAAAGTTGCCAATGGCCACGGCTTTTTTGCCAATGGCCACGGCTTTTTTGCCAATGGCCACGGTTTTTTTGCCAATGGCCACGGCTTTTTTTGCCAATGGCCACGGCTGTTTTGCCAATGGCCACGGCTTTTTTGCCAATCTCCCCCCCGCCCCCCCCCTACCCCCCCCTCCCCCCTATCCCTACCCGCCCCCCCACCCCCCCCCTCTACCCCCCCCCCCCCCCTTCCCCCCCTACCCCCCTTGGAAACCTGGATGAGGGCTTCGCAAGCAACCATGTGGAAGCCAGGCAGCTTGAAGCGTGTCAAAACATTAACTTTTTCGGTCCATTCGGACCAACGTCTAGTCATACGACAAACCCTAAGAGCGCGAAGGGAGGGACATGTGACGAATGTGTAGACCTTTCATCAAACCATACGAGCACGAAGGGAGGGGACATATGACAAACCCTACGAGCACGAAGGGAGACAAACGACAAACCCTAAGAGCACGAAGGAAGAGAACGTAAAGCAACTTCCGGACCCCCCATTCTGGGGTTGGAGCACGAAGGGAGGGGACATACGACAAACCTCCAAAATAAACCCGTACATTTCTCAATGTTTTGGGATTCTCTGCAAGCAGAAGAAAAGGGACATACGACAAAGCCGACGAGCACGAAGGGAGGGGACATACGACAAACCTCTGAAAATAAAACCTCAGTTTCTTAATTCTTGGGATTCTCTGCAAGCAGACAAAGAAAAATAGGCAGGGTCACCGGGGAAAACGAACACGAGCAAAGTGAATATGAGCAGAAAGAGAACGAATACGAGCAGACTGACGAACAGAAAGAGAATGAGTACGAGCAGACTCAGTACGAGCAGAAAGACAGCGAAAACGAGCGGACTGAAATCGAGCAGAGAGCGTACAGAAAAAGCACGAATACGAGCAGAAAGAGAACGAACACCAGCAAAATGAATATGAGCAGAAAGAGAACGAATACGAGCAGAATGATTACGAGCAGAGAGACAACGAAGACGAGCAGACTGAAATCGAGCAGAGAGAGAGAGAGAGAGAGCGAATACGAACAGAATGAATACGAGAAGAAAAACAACGAAAACGAGCGGACTGAAATCGAGCAGAGAGAGAACGAATACGAGCAGAATGAATACGAGCAGAACGAGAACGAACACGAGACGAGCAGATCAGAAAAAGAACGAATACGAGCAGAATGAATACGAGCAGAAAGAAACGCATACGAGCAGAATGGAAACCAAGCAGAATGACAAAAAACACGAGCAGAATGAATAAATGAGGTTGGAGGACAGGGCTTGCTGAGGAAAAATGTGATCTTTATATTTCTTAATGTTTTGGGATTCTCTGGGTGGGTGGGTTTTTTTCTAGAGTCCAGACAGCGGCTCTACTAGAGATTGCTCGACCCAGAGCTGCTGAACCCTAAACCCTAAACCCTAAACCCTAAACCCTGTACCCTGTACCCTGTACCCTATACCCTATACCCTAAACCCTAAACCCTAAACCCTGAAACCCTAAACCCTAAAACGTAAAACCCTAAACCCTACACCCTAAACCCTAAACCGGGGAGGGGCGGGGACGAATCTATGAGGAGTAGGGAGCATCTTTCTTCAGACATGCCCGGGGAACTCCTTGTGCGCTTGCAGGGTTGTTGGTTTTGGCAAGCCTAAACCCTAAACCCAAACCCTAAACCCCCAAACAACACTTCTCCCTCGGCAAACTCTCGCCTCTGTTCACACCAGGACAAGCGGCTCATTCTCGCCTCCGAGGTCGGCGTCGTGGACGTTCCCCAGGAGGAGGCATGCGAGAGTGTAGGGTTTGCTAGAGTTTAGTGTTTGTGTAGTATAGGGGTCGGAACAATCACTAATAGTATTTCCTTAGGGTCCCTTTGTAGCAATACTAAAATAAACCCCCAAAGCCCGACTCTAGTTCTTAAGGTCCCTACAGTAGGTTGTTTTAAGAGTTTTTTGGAGTTTAGGATCGGAGGCTGCAGGATTTCAGTCTTGGGCTTTTAGAGTGTAGGGTTTAGGGGTTTTCAGGGTTTCGGGCGTTTAAGGGTCTAGGGATTTTGGAGTTTAGGGTTGGGGGCACGGGGTCTTCAGGATTTATGGGGCTCCAGACCCTAAACCCTAAACCCTAAACCCTAAACCCTAAACCCTAAACCCTAAACCCTAAATCCGGTGGAAGGTGCAATTCAAGGGCCGGCTGCGACCGGGCCGCATGCTCCTCGTGGACTTCTCCGAGGGGAAGCTGATCGAGGACAACGAGCGCCCTGGCTGTGTTGGGGGGGGGGGGGGGGGGGGGGGGGGGGGGGGGGGGGGGGGGGGGGGGGGGGGGTTTTGGGTTTTGGGGTTTGGGGTTTGGGGCTTGGGGCTTGGGGGTTTGGGGTTTTGGGGTCTCGATGTGTAAGGGTTTTCAGGGTATTCAGGGGATGAAGGGTCTGCGGATATGAAGGGTAAAGAGAGGATGAAGGGTGTGAAGGGTATGAAGGGTCTGAAGGGTATTAAGAGCATTCAAAGGTTCAAAACGAAGGGGGACTTCCAGGGTCTCAGGGGTTTTAAGGGGCTTGGGGTTTATGGCTTGGGTCCCGCAGGTCGAAGCTTTGGAAGTTCTTCTTTAATGTTAGTCACACAGTCTGGCCTCCCGAATGCAGCTTGCACTGGACGCCTACACTGAACCCTCAATGCTCAGGTTTCGGATCTTTTTGTGTTCCTGGTTGGGACATGTTTGCGGGATTTTTGTGTTGGAGAGTTTGTTGGGAAGTTTAGGAGCTTGGGATTTTAGGGTGAACCCGAATCCCGTGACCCTGAAAGCCCCGCACACGGCAGAAAGTCCGTGCCAACGCCTCCCCCCAAACCCTAAACCCTACACCTTAAACCCTAAACCCTAAACCCTAAACATCCAGGTTGAAGATGCGATATGCCAAGTGGCTTGGGCTGTTAGGGGCTTTCGCTGGGCCCTGGGGGGGGGGGGGGGTTAGGGTTTAGGGTTTCGGGCTTAGGGTTTAGGGTTGGGATGTTCCAACTTACACTTGCTTTTATTATCCAAGGTAGTCTAACAGCGGTTGGAATTGGAATATATACAATGTCAACTTCATCTGATTCAACTACTTGTGCGCATGTGGCTGGTTTCGCTTGTGAACAATATCACGTGATACAGATGATAGCGATAATGACAATGAAGTCGACCACAATAGAGCAGAAAGGGTGTGAATCTGAAAGGTGGACAGATTGGTCGTAATAATGGTACACTAAGTACGGAACTGGACACAGATGTGTATGTTGAGGATTGGGGATCTGGTCAGGTTTGTTGTACAAAGTGTAGTAAAGAAAGTGAAAACAGCGGAAATGATGAAACTGATGTTTCTGAAGGGGATACTACAGATGAGACAAGGAATCAGAAGTTGAGAGTTGTGAAAAGAGGATGATTTATTGAATTCATGTCCTGAATAGGGATTCTAATAGGAAGGTACTGGAATCAAGGACTGCTAGTATAAGGGGGAACATCCCAAGTTTAGGGCCTAGTGTTCACGGGGCTCAAGGTTTAGGGGTCAGGGGCCTTAGGGATTCGGAGCTAGATGGTTCGGTGCCTCGAGGCTCATTGCGTTTGAGCGTGGCGTCACGAGGTTTGCTGACAGTTAGGGCTCAACAACAACTCTAAAGAGTAAGCCCGAAAGCCGAAACTCTCATGAAATGAACCACGAGCACGGAAAGACCCCTCAACCCTCAACCCTGACTGAACCTCCTCAAGGCCCTGAGTCAGTTGGCAGAGAGTAGGGTTCATTTGCAGTTGTCCTCAAGGTTTGGTTTGCTGCTCCCTTACAGGGGGGATGTTCTTCCATGCCTACAGGAAACAGCCGTATGCGAGCTTCCTGCAGACGCACAGCATCGAGATCAAGGCAGCAGCAGTTCATGGCCTCTGGCTCTTTGGGGGGGCGAAGGGGCTTCAAGTAAGCAAACAAAAAGAGATACATCTGTGCGTGCTTGCGTATGAGATAGGCTAGACCTATAAAACAATAGCCTCCTTTTCAAGACCTGGTTAGCTGTAGTTATGCCTGGGCCCGTTTCTTGCCTAAACCCTGCGCCCAACCCTAAAGTTTAACACCATGCACTGCTGTATGGGACCCTACTCGTACGCCCTAAACCGAAAACTTTCAGCCACTGCTGTATGGGGGGCCTGCCCCCAGGAATGGGGTTCAAGAATTCAAAGAGCGCCAGAGCCACCCTTCCCTACACCCCCATGGGAATCCGCAATGTGTGCGCTGTGGGTTTGGGACGGATTTTCAGGGAGCCGCTTAGGATGCTTGGGTTTTGGGGTCCAACTTGCTGAGGGCGGAACCCGAGGCCCTCAAGAACACGGCACAGCTTGGAAGAAACAACCCAAACGCCCATCCCCGCCCCCTCCGCCAAATCGAGCCCCCCACCACCTCAAACTAAAGTACCACGGCGCAAGGACCCATGTCTGAACATTGACCTCTCTCAGTCGATGTGGCAACATTCCTTCTCATCTAGGAATGTAGGGCTTTCTAGGTCCTACGGTTTAAGGTTTTGGGAGTTCTCCCGTCAGAATCCCAAAAGCTTCCCGTCCGCAAGCCTTGCAACTTAGTGCCTCGATCCACATACAGGGCGCCCTTGGAGGCAGAACCCTGAAAGGGGATGTTGGGGCCAACCCTATCCCTGCAGGAGATGGCCGTTCCGAAGCAAGAAAACAATTACAGCTAAGCAGCTTGGAAGAAAAACCAAGCAGTTCAAGCTGCCCGCCAAAGAACACCCTTAAGCAAAACAACCCCTTAACCCTAAACCCCCCGAAACAAAAGACTCCACCACCCCAAAACGCATCCAAAACCCTGAGCCCCAGACCCTGTGCCCTAAACCCTAAACCCTAAACCCCAAACCCTAAACCCTAGACCCTAGACCCTAAACCCTAAACCCTAAACCCACGTTGAGCCCATTGCGCCCCGGAGGATCGGCTGGACGCCGAGGCCAAGACGGACGCCGCGCTCATCGAGGAGCTGCTCGACGAGGAGCTTGCTTTCCGGCGTTCTTTCTTTTTCTTTTTTTTTTTTTGGGGGGGGGGGGGTTTAGGGTTTAGGGTTAGGGTTTTGGGTTTTTGGTTTTGGGTTTTGGGTTTTAGGGTTTAGGGTTTAGGGTTTTCTGTTTTGGGTTTTGGGTTTTGGGGCCTGTCGGGGGCTCTTCACGTGCCTGAATTGGCCTTTGAAAAT